CAAGTCTCTTCTGTGTGGCCTAAGAACTTGCAATGAGTGCAATAAGGGCGTGACCTTCTGATTTGAGCATTGTTGCTGGTCTGAGCTGCAAGAGTCGTTGCTTCTGCTGAGAGAACTTTTGAAGGCAGTGTGCCATTCTGCTGTCTTTCATACTGCAGCATCCTCTGGAAGACTCGATCTATGAATGGCAGATCATCACCAAAAAGGAATTGGGATCTGACACTGGAGAAGTGCTCATTCAATCCTCTCAGGAATTGGATGACATAATTTGTGTCCCTGTATGCAAATACCAATCTCATAGCAGCACATGTTTCTCTACTTGTTGGTGTGCAGGTACAATGCTCAAGGGGCTGGTAGTTGTCTAATTCATCTCGAATTGCAATGATGTTTCCATAATACTCATTTACTGACTGGATACCTGTTTGAGAGTGCTTAGAGATTCAGTAAGTTCAGCAATCCTTACCACATCACCTTGACCATAACGAGATCTGAGACGGTGCCATGCTTCAAGGGAAGTTTTGCATGACATAATGATCTTCCTGATGGTTGCTTCAACAGCCTGCTGGATCCATGAGAGAACCATGACATTGTTCCTGTTCCAAGCCCAAGCATTTGGATGATCTGCGCCTGGATGAGGAATGGAACCATTGATGAACCCAAGCTTGTTCTTGGCTCTCAAAGCATTCAGCATGGCCTGACTCCAATCATTGTAGTTGGCGGGGGTAAGTTTCTCACCCACTAACAACAACACTGGTTGTTCAGAGCCATGGAGATAATAGGGGTCTGCCATGGGATCAGCAGGAGGATTGACAACAACAGCATTTGCAGCTTCATTTGCAGCGTTGTTGAGTGGATCGTTGGGCTGGGGATTGCCAGCCATTGCGGCGGCGGCTAGGGTTTATAGAGGCTCTAATACCATGTTAAGAACCAGTTGATCCCAATAACTCGAGTTGTTGGGAGAAGCTTCTGTTGGATCTTATACAGGCCCATGTATGGTACTTAACCACTTCCTTACACGCCCCCTCAAACGAAAGCCGACTCATGGGTTTGAAGTTTGCACGGGCCCGCCAAACCATGTGCTTGAAAGACAACGGTTAATATTGGGGGTCGTGAGGACTTGAACACGTGACCTCAAGGACAAACCAGCTCTGATACCATGTCAACAGATTTGTGAGGAGAAACCCTAAGTCTTCTCTTGCTTTTCTCATTAGAAATCACAGCTTATATAGCTGGATAGAATAGTACAAAGCTCACTGGTGTTGCTTACATTTCAAGAAAGAAGACAAATCTTGCAAGGAAAAAAAGGACAGCCCGGAAAGGGAAAAAATTACAAATGACAAGTTCAGGTACTACTTGGCACTTTGCCAGAAACGACATCACTCCAAGACCTCTTCTTCACTTCCGTTTTAAGCAACCCCGTGTTGTTTGGTGTCGTCTTCTTCTCCCCTGCTCCTGTGCTGTCGACCGTTGCAGGATTCAAATGGGGTGAAAATCCCTCGTTTTCCCCTGATAGGGCCTCAATGCTGTGAAAATCATCCAACTTTGAACTCAGCAAGTGGAGCTGGGCTTGGGCATCTAGAGAAAGTGGCTGGCCTCGATTCCTATGTCGCCGGCTCTCCTGATTCCAATCCGCCATTGTTTTCGTCTCTGATATCTTTGGTACGTACGTCTGTCCCCCTCCTCTTTTTCTGTCCTCTATTTCCCAGCTCTGCATTCGGTTGACGAGGGTTTCTGTGTCTTTGGGTCTTGATTTATCTTGCAAGATATGATGCTCCGAATTTGAGGTATGTTTGTCCTCTATATCCAATTGGTCTTGTTTGCATTTTACAACAAATAGACTCCCAATAATGGATAATCTTCGCATATGTATGGAGTCTTTTTGTGGAAGTAGTGGTTGTTCTCTTTGTTTTTGGTGCTTTCGATGGTTTCCTGATTTCAGAGTTGTTTCAATTGAAGGAAGTTTGCAGACAAGGTTGCAGTTGCTGGGTACTATGTGGTTGTTCCTGACTTCTTCTATGGAGATCCTTAAGTTCCTGGTAACGCAGAGAGGACCATGAAAATCTAGTTACAAGATCATGGACCGGTTAGTTCTAACCATCTGCTTTTTCATAACCCTAATTTGCTCATCTTGAAAGAACCACTTGCAACTTGTCAATGTCCATGCTTTTGCTTGGCTGCCCTTTCTTTCGTACGCAGGCAAAGGGATTCGAAGATGTCAAGCCTGTCATCGAGAGCCTGAAAAGTAAAGGCGTCACTGCAATTGGAGCTATTTGTTTTTGCTGGGGTGGTATGATATTAGATACTACTGCTTATAGAATCAATCCACCATTCTATTCATTTGTTGCGAATTGTGATCTTTGAACAAGCTAAGTACTTTGTGCTACTTCTCTCCATTTTGTCTCAGCCAAGGTTGTGGTTGAACTTGCAAAATAAGACAACAACATCAAGGCCGGGGTGTTCTGCCATCCTTCATTTGTCATGGTAGACGATATAAAAGGTCGGAGATTGATCAGATCAGTTATTTCCCCCTGCAGAATGCAACGGCTTACTATTTTGCTATTTGTAGTCACAATTAAGCTAAATGTTCCTTAAAACTCTGCAGAGGTGAAGATCCCCTTGGCAATACTAGGAGCTGAGATTGACCAGATGTCTCCGCCAGCTCTCCTCAAACCGTTCGAAGCGATCCTTGCTGCTAAGCCTGGGGTAAGGAAGAAGTTATGGTTGGTAACTTTTTAACTGTTATATATTTCTGGGTGTGGAGCTACTGATGTTTTCCCTGTGTTTCTTACCTTTTGCTTTTCCAAAGGTCGACGCGTTTGTGAAGATTTTCCCTGGAGTTTCTAATGGATGGACTGTGAGGTACAACGTTGAAGATGAAGCTGCGGTGAAGGCTGTTGAGGAGGATCAAAATGATGCATTGGAGTGGTTTGCTAAGTTTGTTAAGTGACTGCAGAAAGAACCCCTCATGACGGGCGGATACCACTACTATCTATTGCTATCACAAGTATTGTGGGTTATACTCAGAACCACATTGTTCTTGTTTGCTCCTCCTTTATATGAACTTGGATTGTATTGAGATGGTCTCCTGTTTGTTTGGTTTTTGTGATGATACATCTCTAATAGGTAGATTTGCCCTTCCAGTTACTTTGCATATGAAATAAATGTTTTCATTGTGCAACCTATTGCCTTGATGTTGCCCACAACCGAGTTCTCCAGTTCTCCTTTCGATTCTTCCCTCTGGCCTAAAAAAAGACTTGACTTTCATCACTCTACAAAATATAATCGACACCCACATAGAATCCTTTGTAGAGATTGCTTTCACTATGAGCGAATCTAAATGTGTTCCTGCGGTAAAGGCCCTTGAGAGGAAACTCCAGCAGTTGACAAACCCATAAAATTGCCAACATAAAGAAGCCATCCACAGCCGACCCTGACCCAGAAATCGCTCACCCAAGAAGCTACACACCCGTCGGCGGCCACCATGTCAATCGAACTAGGTAACTTGATCGAGAACAATGCAATCGGGCCGGCCGCTTCCACTATTGCATCATCGTCCAACCCGCTTCCTATTATATTAGGATCCTACGCAGATCTAGTCAGGGTTGTGGGAGACTCAGAGAACAGGGGAGTGATCGATTCTGGGAATTTGGTTTGGAGGTTGTCACCTTCCATGGCGTGTCCTTCTGTGGTTGGGTGGATGGTTCCGCTAGTGAATCAGGGAGACGTGTGCAGGCGACGGTGAGTAGAAGGAACGGTGGTGGTTTGCAGGAGGGAGTATCGCCGCAAAGAGTGTCGGAGAGGAGGTCGGTGGTGATAAGGAGTTTTAAGATTTTATTTATTTTATTTTGGTTTTGATTAATAAAGGACAATTTGGTAAGTTGACGTTTTAAGTTAGGGCAATAATAGTAAAACTAGGGCGACGTTTAGCCCTTCAGAAATAAATATGATGAGTCATCGCTCTCTTACTCGTTCGTTTCTCCCTCCTTGCTATTGGGCCTTAATGGGCTTGTTGCTTGGGCAGCCGGCAAGACCATCCAATTTTAATTGTGGGGAGTGGAATATATCCTAGAAAGGTCCAAACCCGTTTCTTTCATTTTCAGATTTTCTTCCACCGTCAGTTCATGTGAAGACGACGAAGGGTGGCCGCGGAGTGCCAGCCAGCCACCGTCACCGGCAGGAACATTGAATCACAAGCTGTCATTTTCTTCCATCACTTGCTCTGCTTGCATCAACAACCATTAAGCGCGTGGATGATTTGTCCAAAAAAGAAGGAAAACAAGATTATTTTAACTCTTCCTGTTCCTTTTATTTGTTTCAATTCCTTTTCCTTTCCGGTACTAGTTAAATTTGATTTACAATTTATTGAATAAAAAAATTTGTCAACCATTCTTAATTACTTATCTGCCAACCATATTTGTTTTATGTATGTAGTCAATGAAAATTTCTTTCTTGTTTCCCCAATCAGTTGACCCCCTTCTAAGTTCTAACTCCATTTGTTTCTCACAAAATTGGTTGTCCGTCGATACTAATGGCTCGATCCTCGTCAAGAGATTAACAGTAATCAATGTCATAACTAGAATGAAAATCAAAGCAACAAATAAGATGTACCGAAAAGGGTTAGAAGTTAGGTTTCGAGTTGCAAATGAATGATTAAATGATTCATTGCCAATCCTCGAATATGATTCTAGACACTCATGTAAGATAACTTTTAGTGCAGGAGAGTTATCTCATCCTTAATATGATCTATTATGCAACCCATGAGTTATGAAAGGAATAGGAGTGTTACATTTGATTCAATTGGTTATAAGAATAAGGAGTTATCAAAGATTAATAACTCCAAAGAGTTATGTTCCTAATGTAACTCTTCCATGATGGATGGTTGAGATGAAGTGTAAAGATAAAACTTAATAGGAATTTTGGTCCTCTCTCCACCTATAAATTGTATGCTTTGGACCATCACAATAGCATATCATAAGAAACACATATATCAAGTGACTTATGGGCTAGGAGAGAGAATCCCAAAATTCAACATTGCTACTTCTTCGTAAGCTCTCTCTCAATCACCATGGAAGGAGGTATTCTTCTAATCTCTTTTCTATTTCATGTGATTATCATGTTGTTCTATCGATCTTAGGGTTTCATGTAAATTCAAGGTTTACATGTGGTATCAGAGCTTAGGTTATGAATAACATGACAATCCTTGAATTACGATATATACAATTTAGGAGAAACATCTTTCCAAAGCTCAATTGTTATTGACAATTTTTTTTTACCCACACGTCTTTTACATACATTTCATGATTTTGTATGTATATTAGAGACATGTATTATGATAAATATAGTTTTTTTGGCTTAACAATAATAAAGGAGTAATGTATAATGAAAACGAAGAAAATCCACAAATTTCTTGTATTTTTTTGTCTAAAGTTGATATATTACTCAATTTTTTTAGCTAATAATTACGGCTATAATGATATTATTGAGAATATATATATATGGTGAGTTCTACGGTACCCCGGGTGAAATCCGGGGTACCGCATACCCTGAGTATGAAAACGCTATCTAGACCTCGAATTAGCAGGGTTTTTGGGCATGATACTATACCCTAACCCTTAATGAGTGAACCCTAGGTCCTAATTATCTAAATTATAAACTATAAACTCTAAGATGGTGCATTGATTTTTTTGCCTATATTTGGACGAATCATAACCGTCGATTATTATTTCTAACTAAATTGATCTTGGGGTATAAGATTAAGTGAATTAAGACCTATATTTTGATCTTTATGGATTAGAGTATAGTATCATGTCCGAAAGATCAGTCAATTCGAGGTCTAGATAACGTTTTTTTACTCAAGGTATGCGGTGCCCCGGATTTTACCCGGGGTACCGTAGAACTCACCATATATATATATATATAGTGATAACTCACAGGTACACTATAATTTTATTTCATATATTCTCAAACTTTATATGTGTTGTTCATGTATTGTAAATGTCTCATTTAAATATATTATATCTCTATAATTGCAGCAATGTTTCCAAAGCATTTGTCATCTTCTGTCTCATATGTTCCAAACTAGCTTCTCAGAATGGAAAGAGAATGTTGAATTCACCTTGGGAGTACTTGATTTGGATATGGCTCTTACCATTGACAAGCCACCTTCTATTACCAATACAAGTACGGATGATGAAAAGACTCTCTTTAAAGCTTGGGAGAAGTCTGACAGATTGAGTGTTTATGTTTTTACGTATGACAATTGCTAGCAACATCAAAACCTCCCTACCTGTTCCAACAACTGCTAAAGAATACTTAAAAGCAATAGAAGAACGATTTAAGACTGCAGACAAATCCCTTGCATGGAAACTTATGGCAGATCTTACAACTATGAAATTTGATGGCACACGCTCGATGCATGATCATTGTATTGAGATGACGAACCTTGCTGCAATTCATTCTAAATTCATTACCTCCTCAGTATGGACCTTTCCAAATTCATTACAATGCCATTAAGGAGAAGTAGACAGTAAATGAATTGGCAAGTAAATTGATCCAAGAGGAGAGTAGGTTGAAACAACTAGGTATTAAGGTTGCACATCTTATCCAAGGAGCTGGATCTAAAGCTGGGAACATGCACAACTTAAGCCATAAAAGAGCACTGCCTAAGCCAAATGACATCAATAAACCAAATGAGAAGAAAAGAAAGAAGGATGACTTGTGCAAATTTTGCAAGAAATCTGGACATTTTCAAAAAGATTGTTGGAAACGAAAGGAATGGTTCGAAAAGAAAGGTAACCCAATGGGTTCCGTAACCTTTTTCGAAACAAACTTTTCTTATGTTCCTTCTCATACTTGGTGGATTGATTCCAGTGCTAATGTTCATGTTTCAAACTCTATACAGGGATTCATTATGACCCAAACCATAAACCCAAGTGAAAACTTCTTATTCATGGGAAATCGTGACAAAGTACCAGTTGAAGCGATTGGCACTTATCGTCTAAAATTAGATAGTGGATTTGAGTTAGATTTATTTCAGACTCTTTATGTTCCAACTATTTCCCGGAATTTAGTTTCGGTAGTAAGCTTGATGTTTGTGGTTTTAAAGTTAATCATGGAGATGGTTGTTTCAATTTATTTTTAAATTCTAGCCATATTGGTTCTGGAATTTTAATTCATGGACTTTATAGATTTAATCTTGCTAGTCAAATTTCAGAGACCCATCTCACCCTGCGTACCAATGACAAATCAAAATGTGAATCATTAAAATGTGATTCATATTACTTGTGGCATAAAAGGTTGGGTCACATTTCCAGTGAACGAGTAAAACGATTAGTAAAAGATGGAATTCTTCCAGATATTAATGTTACCAATCATGAAGTATGTGTGGATTGTATTAAAGGAAAACAAACAAAACACACAAAGAAAGGAGCCATAAGAAGTACACAGCTTCTTGAAATAATACATACAGATATTTGTGGACCTTTTGACATTCCAAGTTTTGGTGGTGAAAAATATTTCATCACTTTTATCGATGATTTCTCACGATATTGTTATCTCTATTTATTGCATGACAAATCTCAGTCGGTGGAAGTTGTCCAAACTTTCATAACTGAAGTTGAAAGACAATTAGATAGAAAAGTGAAAATCATAAGGTCAGATAGAGGTGGTGAATATTATGGAAGGTATGATGAAACAGGACAACATCCTGGACCTTTTGCACGACTTCTACAAAAACTTGGAATTGTAGCCCAATACACAATGCATGGTTCTCCATGGCAAAATGGTGTAGCTGAAAGGTGAAATCGTACATATATGGAAATGGTTAGATCAATGATGAGTCATGCTGACTTACCAAAATCATTGTGGACATATGCCTTACGCACAGTTGTTTACATTTTAAATCGGGTTCCTAGTAAGGCAGTTCCAAAGACTCCTTTTGAACTGTGGAAAGGTTGGAAACCTAGTTTAAAACCCAGTTGAGGCACGAATTTACAACCCACATGAAAAGAAATTGGACTTCAGAACGATTAGTGGCTATTTTATTGGCTACCCAGAGAAGTCCAAAGGATATATTATCTATTGTCCTAACCATAGTACGAGAATAGTTGAAACCGGAATTGTTAGATTCTATGAGAATGGCAAAACTAATGGGAGTGAAAAAGTACAAGATGTGAACATTCAGGAAGTAAGGGTACCGATCACTTTATCTTTACCCCTAATTCCAAGTATAGTTGAGAATGTTCCAGTTGTCGAACACTCAACTAATGATTCACAATCCCATAATGAGATTCTAGCCAATAATGATCATATGGGTAAAACACCTGAGGAACCAGAATTAAGGAGATCAACTCATGAGAGGAGATCGTCTATTTCCGAGGAATATTGGCTTTACCATGTGAAATCTAATATTTGAATTCTTAAAGACCCGATTTCATACAAACAAGCTATTAACGATATTAATTCCAATAGTTGGAACAATGCCATGAAGGATGAAATGAAATCTATGGTAAAAAATGAAGTTTGGGATGTCGTTCCTTTGCCTCCAGGACACAAGGTGGTAGGAAATAAATGGGTTATAAGACCAAATATGACCAAAATGGTAGTATTGAACGACGTAAAGCTAGACTTGTAGCCAAAGGTTTTAATCAGAAAGAAGGTATTGACTATACAGAGACCTTTTCCCCTGTGTCCAGAAAAGAGTCTTTGAGAATTATTTTGGCACTCGTAGCACATTATGATCTTGAGTTACATCAAATGGATGTTAAAACCGGCTTTCTTAATGGAGACTTGGACGAAGAAGTATATATGCCTCAACCTGAAGGCTTCGTAATTGAAGGTCAGGAAGACATGGTCTGCAAACTTAAGAAATCAATATATGGACTGAAACAAGCTTCTAGACAATGGTATCTCAAATTCTATGAAACTATTACGAAATTTGGTTTCAAAGAAAATATTGTTGATCCATGTGTATACCTCAAGATTAGTGGGAGTAAGTTCATATTTTTGATACTGTATATTGATGATATCTTATTAGCCAGTAGCGATCTTGGCCTTCTACATGAGACCAAGAGCTAACTGTCTAAGAACTTTGACATGAAAGATATGGATGAAGCATCCTATGTGATAGGAATAGAATTATTCCGTGATAGATCACTCGGAATTTTCAGGATGTCTCAGAAAGCATATATTGATAAGGTTCTGGAAATGTATGACATGATGACATGTTCTTCTAGTGTTGTTCCCTTGAACAAAGGAGATAAACTTGATCTTGACCAATGTCCTAAAAATGATTTGGAACGTAAGGAAATGGAAAACTATCCTTATGCCTCACTGGTCGGGAGTTTGATGTATGCACAAGTTTGCACTAGGCCAGACATTAGTCATGCAGTAGGCATGTTGGGAAGGTTTCAAAGCTATCCAGGACTCGCTAATTGAAGAGCTGCAAAGAAAGTATTGAGATATTTGAAGGGAACAAGAAATCACATGCTCACATATAAGAAGTCAACACATCTACAGATGGTTGGATTTTCTAATTCAGATTTTGGTGGATGTCCCGACACTAGACATTGCACTCTTGGTTACGTTTATACCTTAGCTAAAGGTGCAATATCATGGAAAAGCCAAAAATCTAAGATGATATACACATCCACTATGGAAGCCGAATATGTAGCATGTTATGAGGATGCAAATCAAGGTTCTTGATTGCGAAATTTTGTGTCACAATTTGGGCCTTTGAGTTTTATCTCCAAGCCTCTAACTATATATTGTGATAATAAGGCTGCCATTCAATTTTCTAAGCATGATAGGATATCTAAGGGATCAAAACACATGGACCTTAAATATCTATCATTGAAACAAGATGTTAGGCAAGGAAAATTTGTCATTGAGCATTTAGGCACTGATGAAATGGTTGCGGATATATTTACTAAAGGACTCCCTCCAAAGTCTTTTAAGAAACATACTAATAGTATGTGTCTTGAGGATAGTTTCCAGTAAATTTCCGTTGTATGTTTTGACTATAATTGAAATTTTCTTTTGCCATAGAGCTCATAAATGGAACTATACATCATGTCTATTCTGTTCTCCATTGTGTACACATATTGTTATGGATGTATGATAAAGAATTCGTCTTTTCAAAGACATCATGAGACCATTATGAAAACTCTTAATAACGGTCTGGTTGTGATAGTTGTTGATGTCGTGGTACATGGAAGGAATTAAGGTTGTTAACTTATGACCGCCATGACTCTCATTATCAACTAGATCAATTAAGACACTTATGATAACCAACTAAAGATAACAAACTTAACAACTTATGCGCGCCTTATGATTTCCTATAAGCAACAACACGGGTATTCATAACGATCAAGTGGGAGACTGAAGATAACTTTTAGTGCAAGAGAGTTATCTCATCCTTAATATGATCTATTTATGAGACCCATGAGTTATGAAAGGAATAGGAGTGTTACATTTGATTCAATTGGTTATAAGAATAAGGAGCTATCAAAGATTAATAACTCCAAAGAATTATGTTCCTATTGTAACTCTTCCATGATGGATGGTTGAGATGAAGTGTAAAGATAAAACTTAATAGGAATTTTGGTCCTCTCTCCACCTATAAATTGTATGCTTTGGACCATCACAATAGCATATCATAAGAAACACATATATCAAGTGACTTATAGGCTAGGAGAGAGAATCCCAAAATTCAACATTGCTACTTCTTCATAAGCTCTCTCAATCACCATGGAAGGAGGCATTCTTCTAATCTCTTTTCTATTTCATGTGATTATCATGTTGTTCTATCGATCTTAGGGTTTCATGTAAATTCAAGGTTTACAACTCATTCTTTTTGCTTTCGTTTGGTCGTTTGGATGCTTGACGAGATGTAAATGGAACCATTCTAATGTCTTTCATGTTCTTAAAGAAAGCAATCAAGTCGTCACGAAATATTTTATTTAATAATAGTTGTTATCTAGTCTTTACTTCAATAATTCATCATATCCAAACCCAAAAAATGTCACTGAACTGAAAATTAAATGACATATTGTATACTATGCTAATCATGAAAACGAACAGATAGTGAGTGAGCACTAGTCCACTACTGTTATTCTGTTAACGACATTGTATCCATCTTCTTCACTGCAATTATGGAGAAATTAACTTTTTTCCCGCTGCCATTTTCCTTGCAGAATAACACTTGCCAAGAAGATAAAATCTTTACAAATATGAACCCAAGTAAGTAATAACCAAAGTGCATGAATAAACTAAACTTAATGAAGTCATGTTAGCTGGTGAGGGTGTGTGTTGCTTGATCTTGCTACGCTGCTCACATGCCAATCTATGATAACGTTCTCACTCGTAGTCGCAGGGGTGTGCGATTGTTTGTGTTGAATGCTCTGTAAACGTTCGATCTATGCAGTAATAATTTTGTAAATAAAATGACATTGTGTCAATCTTACGGTTGCGGAGTGCCCAACGCACAATCTGAAGGATACATACCCTCTTTGTAAACACCTGCGGTGTGCAACGGTGCATTCCTCACAAAACCAAATCGATATTTGAATCGGACCATATCAAACCGAATATATGCAATCCAGTTCTTTTCTCCATAAGAACCAGACCGAATGTAATATGGTCTGATCGTTGAGTTCTACAATTTCTCTTCCTATTGAATCGCAATTCACATGGTCTGCTTTGATTTGTATTTAGCAATAGACCGAATCATTGCATATCCATATGATAATTAACCATGTGTTATAATTTATAAAGGGCTGGAAAATTGGCTATAAGGGGACTAATTAACCCATAGGTCATATTGAAAAACAAATCTACGGGTGCGCAATGGGACGGGACTAGGTACCCGTCCCGTTTGAAATGGGTACCCAATCCCATTTGGAGAGTAAACTCCATCTCATGTCACAAACCCATACGGGTTAATAGGTACCCATTACCCGTATGGAACGGATAACGGGTACACGCGGGTACCCACCAAATCAACAATCTTGTGATTGAAAAATTGATAGGTATTCACTTCTAATTTATATTATATATTGGACTTTTATGGTTGTGATTCTATTTACACTGGTTTCGCTCGAAACATATTCATTGACAGAGTGCTCAACTGGGTGATCCCTCTGCTTTCCCCTTTGCTTGGCTTGCCTTTGCTCTGCTAACTGCAACATCGCGTTGAATGAAATCAACATGTATTTATTGTTAATGGCCAGTTGGCCACACACCATGAAAAGACTGTTTTTCTTTGTTTTGGGTTTTAGTACACGAGGCAGCAGCTTGTTGATTAATGAGGAAGGGAGAAATGAGATGGGGACGGGTAATTTGAGACGACGTCTTTTAGCAAAGGGCTGGGTTTATTATGGGATTCGTCAAATGATACATGGGTTACTATATATGGTGGATAGTACGGGTACTCGTAATATCCAAACGGGTATTAACGGGTTATCCGTCGGGTACTATTTTGGAACTTCTTGATTCAAAGTCCCATCACGTAAAAAAAATTACGGGTATTTGGATACCCGTAACCTTTAAAAAATGAGATGGGTATACCCAAATACCCGTTTCCTGTTGTCCACCCCTAAACAAATCAACCTTGTCCTACTTTCCGTCCTAGTCCTCTGCATTAAAATGGAATGGATAATCAATCAAGTCTCAATCCACAATAGAATCCATATTATTGAATATGGAAAGTGGGTTTTACCTATATAGCCCCTTTGCCGGTGCTACGTAGAAATGTAGCAGAAATGAAATAATCCTTTCCCAAATCACCAAAAAACAAAAGAAAAAGAAAAGCTATGTGAAGGGCACATGCATATAAGATGATGAGAATTTGAGAGCCTCTTCTCCATAATAATCCTCTCTTTCTTCGGGCCAGTGATCTGTAAAATGCTTCTTTGTGTTTTCTGCATCCTTCAATTGATTCGGTCCAGTCCGGTACGGTTAAATTGACCCAAATTGATCCAGTCCAGTCCGGTCTTTTTGAAAATATAAGGACCAAAGATTGGATTGGATACAGACCTTTCTTGACCCGGCTGGTCCCAATTCGGTCTTGATTTTATACTGAGCTTGTGGGGATTTGAGTGGCCTAAGGCCTGAAAGGGTGAGAAGTTGGTTAAGTTTTGTACTAAGTGCAATGGTTTGTGACCATTTATGCAAATTACCTTAAGTTTTGGGTGTTGAGTTCTCTTATCCGGTCTTTATCCAGTTTTCTATCCGCTCCCGAACGGTTTTTTTATCTCAAATCTAAGCCCAAGATTGGATTAGATTGTTTACTATCCGGTCCGGTTTCGGTAAAACTAAAAAACCCAGACCAAATAGCCAGCCCTAGATTTGACATAAAATTAGATGGACCACTTCGAGTTAATTGGTTTACTATTTTAATTAAAAAATATTTTAACGCTTACTAAGACCAACTAACCTCAATTATTAATTTTATTTATGCTTTTTTTTTGTTTCCCAGCCTCCTCATCCACTTTATGTGGCCACTAAAGTGTGGCCACTACAGATTACCCCATGATTACTAACTTGAATTTATTAAAAATAATTATGATTGTTTTGTGGGATTGTTTGAATGATTTGTTAGAACTTTTGGTGATGGATGATAAGCATTTGAAATTGTTTACAATCGGTATTAATTCCTAAATTACTGTATTATATATGTCTATGTTATAGCTCATGAACAATTCGATCAAATTAATGAACAGGTTTATAACAGTTAACCGTTGCACCATAAACCACTAATTTCTTCAATTCAATTTTTGATTTGGTTATGAAAACTGGCCTTACTTTTCAAATCCAATAAGCAAATTACATATTGGAGTTCAACAATGAGATCTTCTTGCTTTTGCTCATTCCCACCAGTCTTCAGTTCGGATTGCAGGCTGCAACTCGGGGCTTTATCACTTGAGTGGATAGGCGATTGGTTTGGGAACCGTTGTCATTTCCTATATGATAAATAATTATTGTCAAAATACACTTCGATAGCCACAACTTTCACGTTTGTGACAGTTATAACCACAACTTATGAAATACACGAAATAACCATAATTTTTATGGTTGTTTAACAAATCTATCCATTTTCGTTACAAACTTTAACGGTGTTAGATATTTCATCAGTTAGGTTAACGACATGCTAGCTAGGATACCAAATTAACGCACACGTTAGCTACAACTCACCCTCACTTGCCATGTAGATGCCACGTCATTTACTTTAAAAATATTTTAGGCAAAATACACTTCCATAGTTAAACTTTCACGTTTGTGTCGGTTTAAGCCACAACTTTCACGTTTGTGACAATTTAAGCCACAACTTTCGAAATATACGAAATAGGCAGAATTTTGATGGTCGTTTGATAAATCTAGCCATTTCGGTTACAAACTTTCGAAATACACAAAGCAATTGTGACCCTATCCTCGATTTCTTCTCAGAATTCTGTTTGAGAGGGAAGGCGACGAATCAGGCCAATTGACTACGATGAATCAGCCTTCACCGAAAACAAGAATAACCGCAGTTGCGACGGTTTCGAGGAATTAGAGGGGGAAATGCACTACAAGCCGCCACATACTTTCTTCCTGACCCATTATCCTCTGTCGCCACTGGAGTCACCGTCTCCTCTTTCACCACTACCACCGATGCCTTCTTCTTTGCGGCTGTCGTCGAGCTTCTTCCCAGCAACCTTCTTATCCTTTTTCTCGCCTTTTTTCTACGACTCCACCAAACTTCTAAGGCCTTCTTCTTCAATCTCGCAATTGGGGATCTGAATCGGCGATTTGAGAAATAAGGCATTCTTCTCCAGTCATACTATTAAGTGACACCATTAAACGGAGGAATGGAAGTGGCTATTTCGTGTATTTTGAAAGTTGTGCCTATAACTGTCACAAACGTCAAAATCGTAGCTATGGAAGTGCATTTTGTTTTTCTATTATAAATTCACGTGGATTGGTGGGGAAGAAATATAGTCAGCTCAGCATGTCCATCAATCCAGTCCAGCATACTGTTAAGTGACACCGTTTAAGAAATGCACTGAAATAACTATTTTATTTATTTCGAAAGTTGTTGCTATCATAAACGTGAAAATGAGTAACTTTTTGTATTTTACCTTAGTTATTTGTTTTCCGTTTCAAGGTGAGATTATCCATAATATAATTTTCTCAACCTCACTATTTTCCTCCCTCGTTCCTCTCCGCCACAAAGAAAGCCTCTTCCCTTTTTTCCTTTCTTCAACTTCGACTCTAAGCTTTACACATATCGTGTTGTTCATCATCACTAGTCACTACTGGCTGGATATTATTTTGCTCCCATCTCACACCTTCCTCCCTTTCTTTGTTCTCCGAGATCTAAAAGCTCTCAGCTTTTGTATCCTTCTCACTTGGAACTCTTAAATCATCGATACTTACACTGCATAGGTAGTAGCGATAGTCGCCGCTTCTGTTTCCCCTAAAAAGCTTTTTAGTTCTGCCGTTGCTTCTCTTCGTATACCCACTTCTAACTTGATCTATTAATCGATTGGATTCTCTCATTCTACTCGCCATTTGTTTCCTTCTTCAATTGGCCGCAAGCTCTTGTGCCCTTGTTTACTTACTCTCTTTCGTCTCTTCTGTCTTGTTCCTTCTGTTGTTTCGGTGCCAGATATTCAGGGGTGAGTTGCCCTTTTCCCGATTCGGGAACTTGTTGGGATTACCTAATTTCTTTTCCGCGCGGAATTGATTTCCCTGATCTTGCTTTGCTAGTTGGATTCGATTTGGCTTCTAAGGAAGTTCTAGGCTTTGTTTTGCTGGGATTCCATTTCAGATTTTGCTGGGTGGTGGCTGATCTGGTGCCTAAGTCTAATCCTGTGAAGTTTTGGCTATCTGGGTTCTTCTTCTCTACTGGTCAAATTGCACTCGGGAGCTTTCAGTACCTCTGTAAGACACTGCGGTTTGTGGGTGGAGGCAGACTCTCGCTTGATACAGAATTTTGGGGAAGATTAATGCGTTGTTGGTGTTGAGATGCAGCCTGATCAGCGAAAGAAGGTAAAAATGTGCTGTTATGCTTATTGGTCATGATGTGGTGTCATGTAGTTCGTTGAAGCGAAGATCAAAAGTCTAGTCATAGACATGAACTATGAACTGGGACCTGTAATCTGCTTGTCTAACTCTACAGTGGATTTTGGGATGTTATATTCTTAACTTGGATGTCTTTGTATCTCTGGATGTGGTAACTGCACACCTGGATTTTGAATCAACACCTTTTCATGTTTATCCCTTTGACACATGGTTTGTCTCCCTATTGCCGGGTTATGGCTGGCCCACTGTCGTATTAACTATATAATAACGGGTTTGCTGATCAACTGCCTATGTTTTGGATGAATTGTTATGTGAAACAGCCCGTTGATAAAATGATAAGCTAGTTGCCATCGTAGATTCATATTGGTACTTGACTACTGTGTATCAGAGTTTAGTTTGGGTTTGATGTAGAACTGAAATCTGGATCGAGTATCTGTGACTGTTTCAGCTTGTCTATGGCAGTAACCATTAGGTAGTTGCTATCATAAAGCTAGTCCATGTTATTGGAAGTTAACTTAAAGCCGGCTGACATGAGAAGAGAAACCAGCTATGGTTAGACTGACAACTCTAGCAATGTGAGATTGTCTCTAATAAATTGCAGGCCAAGTGCCTTTTTTTGTGCTGGGTGTTTGCACATGCCTCTGCCGAATTCTGGTTTTGTCAAATATCAATAGAATAGTGCTGGTCCATTCAGCAATATGTTCCATCTAACTGTGTTCTTCTTCTCCTGTGTCTTGACACATTTCTGAATTTTTGCTGCAGTCTGTTGATGTTGACTTTTTCACCGAGTATGGTGAGGGTAGCAGGTATAAAATAGAGGAAGTTATTGGCAAAGGAAGTTATGGTGTTGTTTGCTCGGCATATGATACACATACAGGAGAGAAAGTTGCAATTAAGAAAATCAATGACATCTTTGAACATGTCTCTGATGCCACTCGCATCCTTCGAGAAATTAAACTTCTTAGGCTTCTACGTCATCCAGATATTGTGGAGATCAAGCACATCTTGTTGCCCCCTTCCAGAAGGGAGTTTAAGGACATCTATGTAGTTTTTGAGTTGATGGAATCTGATCTACACCAAGTTATCAAAGCAAATGATGATCTAACACCTGAGCACTATCAGTTCTTTCTTTATCAGCTTCTCCGAGGCCTGAAATACATACACACTGGTGAGGGGCTTGATAGAATACCTTGAGTCAGTAAAAGCTGTGAACTTATACTCTTTCTTGCAAGTGCTTGTGGTTCATGCCTGTATTGATTCTTCTTTCTTCCAGCAAATGTGTTTCACAGGGATCTAAAACCCAAAAACATCTTAGCCAATGCTGACTGTAAATTAAAGATTTGTGACTTCGGCCTTGCAAGAGTTGCCTTCAATGACACTCCCACAGCAATTTTCTGGACAGTAAGTTCCAATCTTTGATGAATTTACACGCAGAGGAGCTCCGAGGAATAATGTAGACCATTATCAATTTTCTATCTATGTAAATCTAATTGTTTCTGTTGTTGCTCTGTCCCAGGATTATGTTGCGACGAGATGGTATAGAGCTCCAGAATTGTGTGGGTCATTTTTCTCCAAGGTGCCTTGTTACTGCTTTAAAGCTTATCTTTGATATCTGTTTTTTTTTCTTTTCGGTTCACACTTTGTCACACTAAATACTGATTCTTCCCTGGTCCTTTAGCCTGTCTGAAATGTGTCTTATGTGCTTCACTTCCTTCATAGAATTGCTAGAAATGTTTACATAGAGTCAATTACAGACCTCTTGTGAGTATTCATTTTAATTAAACAGTCAGATTCCGCTTGTGAGTATTCATTTTCTATTTGCTATTCTGTGTATATATGCAGTACACACCTGCAATAGACATATGGAGCATTGGATGCATCTTTTCTGAACTTTTGACTGGGAAACCTCTTTTCCCTGGGAAAAATGTAGTTCATCAGTTGGATCTGATGACTGATCTTTTGGGAACACCATCTTCTGAAGCAATTGCGAGGGTATTTTCCTCTCATCATCATGTATTCCGTTGTCTGCATTAATTTAAGGTGCTTATGCTAAAATGAAAGCATCATTATCATTTACAGGTTCGTAACGAGAAAGCTCGTAGATACCTTAGTAGCATGCGGAAGAAGAAGCCGATTCCTTTTACTCACAAATTCCCTCATGCAGACCCTCTTGCACTTAGGTTATTAGAAAAAATGCTAGCATTTGAACCCAAAGACCGGCCTACCGCTGAAGAGGTGAGCTTCTCTATTTACTCATCTTGTCACTTAGAGAATAAATGAATTCCCCTCTCAAGAGATTTATAATTATGCATAATTTTCATTTTACAAGGCCCTTGCTGATCCGTATTTCAAAGGTTTGGCCAAAGTTGAGAGAGAGCCTTCCGCTCAACCTGTCACCAAAATGGAATTTGAATTTGAGAGGCGAAGAATAACAAAAGAAGATGTAAGGGAGCTCATTTACCGAGAAACACTCGAGTACCATCCAAAAATGTTGAAAGAATTCTTGGAAGGTTCAGAACCAACTGGCTTCATGTACCCAAGTGCTGTTGACCATTTCAAGAAGCAATTTGCTTATCTTGAGGAGCATTATGGAAATGGTGGGCCTGCTGCTACTCCGCCAGAGAGAACTCATGCGTCATTGCCAAGGTATGCTTAGTATTTTTTTGTTTTTCTTTTTCATGCTGCCATCCTGGAGATTATATTCACTGTGTTTAGTATGATGTTGCATGCAGGGCCTGTGTATTATATTCAGATAAGAATCCTATGCTGAGCTCAGCACAAGTAGCAAATGATCTTTCCAAATGTTCTATCAAAGATATCGAGAAGCCACACATGGACAAGAGTGGTGGACCTGGTGGTATCCCGATGACAAGGCTTCCCATTCAAGTCCCTCAAAGTATTCAAGGTAACCCACGCTCATCTTTCCTTCAAACCCCATCTGAAAAAGTGGTTTGGTTACATACTAAGCTCTCCTAACACCAAGAATTCAGTGGTTTGCATTAGAGTTCCTTTAATTATGATTAGATTTGTGTGACTAAGAACTGGAATGACATATCTCTACAGCGGGCCCTGCTCGTCCTGGGAAAGTTGTTGGCTCTGTACTGCGATACAACAACTGTGCCACAGCAGCCGATACAGTTGTTGACCAGCGAAGAATGGTCAGAAACCCTTCTACCACATCTCAATACACCTCTTCGAATGGTTCATATCCAAGAAGAAACCCGGGCTGCAAGAATGACAGGGGAGAAGACGATGGAATTGAAGGGTCCAATGGATTGCAGCCAAAACCACAGTACATGGCAAGGAAAGTTGCTGCTGCTCAAGGTGGACCGGGAAGTCAATGGTATTGATGATGGTTATACACCCCAGTAGGCACACTTTGACTTCCATCTCTCCACTCTTGTGGATGGTCATCACCATCATCCCTTGATGGAGGTGCTATGAACTACACTCACCTGCTTCGGGTACTCTATCATGCAATGGATTTCGTCGGTGCTAAAGGTGATTCGAAAGATTGTGGCCGAGGAACTTTCTTGGCTTGGGAGGATGATGTGGAGCGGAGAATGGAACAGGTTGTAATTTATTTCTCTAACTGAGGTTAAAAGAGCTGAAATAATCAGGTTCTTGGTCCGTTAGCATACCGGTGTGTTGCCATGTCTGATTTAGCTCAGTATCAAGTCCACGTGAAAAGAGTCTGATGTTCGTAAATGGGGTTGGGTAGTGTTGGTTGGTTGCTTACCAGATTCTCTGCACCTCTTCTTGTTCTTTCCTTTGTAGAAGTTTTCCTACCCTTATTTTGTTCACCCCAAATTATTCGTTTTTCGCTACTTGTACACTTCTCCTATCTAAGTATCTCTGTCAAATAAAGATTCTGGGTTCAGTACTTGTGATATTCCATGGCAATGTATCGACATACGGACTACCTAGTTGTTACAATTTGTGCTCACTTATTGTTTCATGCAAGCATTGCATCCTATGATCAACTGTTTACTATTTTTGCCTCGCAATTTCCTGCCGTGACGCGATTGTATCCTATGATCAATCGTTGATTGATTGGAAGGTACTGTTTGTGCAATCACAGGAAAAGATACTAACTACTTACAGTGGCATTTGCATTACATCAAACTACATTACAAGCAAATCTGGCATTGAAGCAGTATCTGTCGGACTATCTTGGTGTTGCATTTCAAGGTAACTGTAATTGGCTACTGCAGGTTAAACTGAGCTTGGTACCTAACTTATCCACTCAGAACAGTCAAAAGCTTCCATGAATTGAATTGTTTATTCCGCAAGCAATACAAACACAATGTATACACCCAGATGTCTGCTCCAGCCTAATTGAAGTGTATCAATAGCAGAAATGTTAAAAACTTACATCACAAGCAGAAATGTTAAAACTTCACAAATTTGAAGATACTATTCAATGTTAGTGAATACACTACACAAACAAATGAAACCCCCGATCTACTACTGACTCTTGTTTTCCCTTACATTCTTTTCACTATGCAACACCTACAATGGTCGGTACAGTTTGCAAAACTGTGCAAAGCCCTAACAAGATCTTCATCGCAATTTCATTTTCTCACTTACACCTACAAATCAATGGATCCTTTGCTTCACCCTTCTACCGTTCATATCACCGTCCAAGCTTTCGATCCCAAGAACAGAAGCAGCAACTGCAGAATGCTCACTAACTCTGGCAACATACTGCAACAGTTCTGTGATGACTGTAGGGCAACTTTGCTTCAGGTACTCGAATCCATCAGTTTGCATGACAGCTGCATAAAATTCACCCATGCTTATCATGAGTCTCAGTGGCAAAAGTTGAGAATTATATGTTCATCACAAGAGCACTTCTAAGAGCCCTTATACTAAAGGAGACAAAAATATGCTCTGCGGATGAATATGGAGGAAAGAAAATTCTAAGTATATAAAGGGGCCAGCATTGTTCGTGCAAACTGCATTGTTGCATGTAGTGCTGGAAAGAAAGATTTAAGCAACACGAAAGGGAGGTACAAGGTAGGCTAACCTTTCAGATTTTCAGGCAATGCAATGAATTTGAGGCAGACAGCTTTTAATTGGAGACACTGATGTTGCTCGGCCAAAGCTAGTGTTGTTGCAACTGTATTTATTGCGACATCCTCACATAGTTTTGCTTCGCAGAGTAGTCTGAGTCTCTCTAATGCATAACGGTCAGCTGCCGCAAGTAGATGCTGTGCCATTAATGTGCCAGCCCATTTGGGGTTCACTACACCAACAAGGTCTTCCATGTCAGGCAGGGCATCCCAATAGATGAAGTGTAGTAGAGCCTGCAGACATTCCAACACAAAGTGAGGAACAAATTACATTTTAGAACTGTTCAATCTCGATCTAACTGTACGAAAAAAGTAACATAGCAATTCAGTGTTAACCAATATCCATAATTGAGATAAAGGAAAGAAGCAAAGCCCAGTTTCCCCAGACAGCCAAGACAGGAAACTGCAGTTCAGCACTTCAGAATCTGAGTTTTGAAAATATTCTGCTGCATCCTTGGCTTCAGATCTATTTCCTCATAAGCTGAAAGGAAGAGTTTTCACAACCGACCGAGACACAAGATATCTCTGCCACCCCATTACATGTACACAAAAAGCAGGGGTGAACAAAATGAAGCTCCTGGGGGCAGCACCAAGGAAAAGTTCCGTCCAATGCCCCAAGCTAGATGAAGCTCTTCACAATAACTGCCCAACCACAGATAATGCTGCCAAGCTTAAGTAGTTATGGACAAGTACCAATTGTAGCAGCATCTATCACGAGGAGAAACCAAGAAGTAGAGCTTAGCTGGAGTAATAATTGTGCACAGGAGGAGCACCATAATGGATGAAAGCAACAAGTATATTTGAGTATGGCATCACAATCATCCTGTATGGCACCATAATTACTCACCCAATACAGGTAACCAACCTACAAAGGCTCCCTCTTTCCATGTATCGTATAACAAAGTCCAATTTACCAATGAACAAATCATCATTTGTTGCAAAAGCATTGATACTCAGCTAAGTGCTAAAAACCACAAACTATTCAGATCAACCACAGAAACAAAGCTACTTGGAAGGCGAGCCAAGCAAGTCATTACCAAGCAGGATATCACAAAATACAAACTAGTGTGGGTTCTGATAATAGTAGAATAGTTTGTGGCTGAAGATATGGTGTTTTCAGCTCTTCTCCAGGTTTCTTATGTGCGGAAGTTATTAAAAGAAGACAGCTTAAATAAGCAAATTACCGTATATAGAGAAGCACCAGAAATACAAACCAGAATCATCCACTCAAATGCAACTGAAGAAAATAAGAGAAGGGCAAACAAGCCTAGCAAAAAGAACTGTCAATGATGTTCTGTAATCAGATAAGCTACCTATTAACAATATCGCGTTGCCTGCTGGTCTTTATAAAAAAAAAATCGCGTTGGTTGGGAAATGGGAAACACTATCAGTTAAAGAATTTTAAAATGCAACTTAAGTACGGACATGTTTGTGAAAACAACAAAAGCGAGAAACTGGTATAGAGAAAGGAGAAAGAGAAATTGAGAGAAAGAACCTTAAAGACTGGGGCTTCTACATCTTCAACTTTCAAGGACCTAGTGTTTTGGTCCTTCATTGGACCAAAAAGCTGTGCCCTGAATACTGGAGAGCGTGCAGCAAGAACAAGCTTGTGTGCAGAAAACATTTCACCATCAACTTCAAAATTTACATCGGACCCCTTCCCACTTTCCAAGAGCATTCCAAACTGAAGACCAATGTCAGAAGGTGGCACAGGAATTGAATAGGTCCGAGGTCCCTCTGTCTGCGACTTAACAACACCAACACAGCAACGGATCACAAGTTTATCGTCCTTCAGGTAATCTGAAGTCTCCAGTTGAGTTCGTTTGAAAAACCGCTTATAACCCCTGCAACAACCAAAACATAAGCACCAGGCCTCAAGCATCACCCATCATGCCCATCAGTATACAATTGAAAAATTTAAGTCTAATAGTGAATGCTTAAATAAATAGCTTTCAAGGACTCCATCACACGTCTAGTGCCACTGGTTCTACCAGATTGACAATCTTGGCAACATTGCATCAATTTCCAATATCAAGCAAAGATACCTAATTTCAGGTGAGTGTGAAAACTTAATCAATGATTCATGTGAGCTTCTGCTACAATAAACCGCTTTCCTTGCTTTAATATGCTTGACTCCCAAGTAGAGAGTTTTTCTTCAATTCATCACGAGTCTAAAAGAAGTACTCAAGTTAACTACATTACCAAACCCAAACCTAATAATAAGCAACTGCCTACAAATCATCTTATATCCGGTTACCTCCTCCTTAAAAGACATTTATTTACAGTTAGACACATTCATCTCCCGAAATGATAATCACTAGTGCTGCAATATGTGTCTCATCTTTATTCAAAGATAACGAATTTTCATTTGACTTCAACATGTCTCAACATGTCGTATGAGCCATAACTCTGCTACTATAAACCTCTAAACTTGTTTTAAGATAGCAAACTCCCAAGTGCTGAAGTGTTCTCAAACTCGTCAAGAGTTTAAATGAAGTAAACAATTTGACAATCCAACCTTACCATAACCAATAGGCAACAAATCACATTCACTGATTACCCCTCCAACAAAGAAATTAGCTTTACCGAGGGATGGGGCAATCATCTCAAAATACTCGGTCAAAGCGTAATCGAAGAGCCGTGAACAAGGATAAAGCAAATTGCACAGCCAGATATAAGCACTCACCACATGCTCCCTCTGTATTTAAGGGTATAAGGACCTGTCTCCAGGTTTCTACCAAAATGGCTATGAACCTTATGCCGTGCTTTCCCACTCTGATCCATCAGCGTCAGCTCGAACAACGCCCTCACATCCGTCCCCTCGCTGGCCAGCGCAATGAACAAAGACACGTAATTCCCGTTATCCTCGGGACTCTTCCCGTCGGGATAAAAGTAGATCGCCCAAGCGTAACCCCCGACGAAGAACGTCTCGGAAGCTATGTACTTGCCGACGCCCATCCCCTTGGACAGCGAGTAGCCACTGATGTCGAACTCGTGGGAGCCATTGATGGTCTCGTTCCTCGAGGTGGAGGTCGTCACCGAGAGCGGGGATTGCGACGTCGACGAGCTCGGCTTGTTCGCGAGATCACTGTCGCGAACCCTAATTGCGTCCATCAACCGGTAGAGAAATGGAAATACGGGTGAATCCGATTACCCCCAGCAGCTTTACCCGGGAGAATTGTCGAGGGAATTCGACGAATTCGTGCGGCGGTCGCGACTCAGCGCGGAGAAGTCCCGGGCGCACGTCGGGGCGAAATCGGGGTTTTGGAAAGGGGAAAAAAGAGGGAAATTGATAATTGGAGGGGTCGGTAGGGTAGGAAACAGAAGATTGGGAGGTAGATCTAAGTTGCCGACGGAAATCGGCGGCGGAGGAAGGCGGTGATCGGAAGAAGAAGGTGGGCGATGACCTTTTTCTTCTGGTGGGCGAGATGAAAAAAACGTGACAGATTATTATCGAAATGAAGAAGGAAGCCATTACTGATGAAATGAAGTCCTTTATATACGTCACATTCTGTTCTCTCTTCTGTCAAACAAACCTATTCTCCTTCATTTTTTCCGTTACCTTTTCGCCGGTAAAAAAGAAGGGATCGTTGTTGTCTTTTGGGCCCCCTCCGCTTTGCTTTAGGGCCCGTTTAGTATCATTTAGTTGTTGTGGTTGCAGTGATGTTGTGTAAACAGATGTACAACCACAACAGGAAAAAAACAGAAAATACAAACCTGTTTAGTTGATAAATCTGAAAAATCATGAAAGCTGACAACAAGAAACAAAAACGCGTTTAGTTACTACTGTAAGAACTAAAAACCAGAAAAAAGAGATATGTCCTCAATATTAAGCAAAGTCTCACAAAATTCAATTTACCTAACA